CATTCTTCGATTTTCGAAATCACTCATGCATGACCGTCCAGGCGCCATTTTGTCCGTTTCTGGTCCATTTTAAGGCCTTTCTTTCTTCCTTCCTATCTCCACTATCATAGATCCTACAAACTTCTAACAAATTCCTCTAGATAGCCTAAGAGATGTTCTTTAATCTGCGATGTATAACTTGCCCTTCAAAATGCCATCTTCATACTCAAAATTCAAATCTGAAACCGACTCCGTCAACAATCTCTCAAATTCTTGAGAAATGGACCCCTAAATAATCTAAAACTGCCATAACTTTCTCATATAATGTCCGTTTTGTATTAAAATCTCACAGTATGTTTGTCTCATAATTGCTGATAGCCATGCCCAATTTCACGCTCCAATGGTTTTGCAAAACATAAATAGCGCCCTCTAAAGTTCTGGAAATTGGCTTTCTCTCTGTGGCCGTATCTCCATTATGGCTTGGCAGACCCGTACCTTTTTTTGGATTTAGATACCTGAGGATATGCCCTTTCCAGCCATATACAAAATTATATACCCTATCACTGACCAACTTTGCGAAAATTGCCCTCCAAATTCGCCATTTTCAAGAAAATTCCGAAATAACTTCAACTTGCTCTAAAATGGCGATCTTTATACCTACGTCGTTGAAACTTGGCAGACACATGTATCCATATACGTGACAACTGTCTGCCAAGTTTAGTAAATTTTAATAACGTCAGCGCAAAGTTATCGCCAAAAATGATGAATTTGCTATGCATTACATAATAGCGCCTTTAATGCGTGCAGTACATTGCGTGCAGATGACAATGGTGTCAAACTGACCGCAATGAAGTGCCCTTTCGAATGATACCAAGTATGGTATATGTTTACACAGAAAATTGTGAGTAAATCGCATTTGAACAAGGGTCACTATACGAATTCCGCCCGATTATAACACTTATCGGCCAAGACGTCATTTTTTCAGACTACTTTTCGCCCCCTAAACATCCTTTTTTTTCCTTGAAAATTTGCAATGACATTCCGAGATGCAATACGCAGGGCACCTCGTGGCCGGATTTTTGAAATTGGTCAAGGGGGCCATTTAAGACGCCATTTTGTCCTTTAAATCTATTTTACATCACATGTTTCGATAGGATTATCATATAAAAAAAGAGAGTAGTTTACAATAACGACCATGAAATTCTCTTTCCAATGATACCATATACGGCCCATAAAGAGACATAAAGAGAGAGAGAAAAAACAATTTAACTCCGGTCATAATACAGATCCTCTACGTTTTCCGCCCATGCATTACACGCATTGTCTATGGGGGCAAATCGGGTTCACGCTTTTGACCCCTAGAACGATCTTGATTGCAATGACGAACATGCAACTAATCCCATTTGTTTTTGCACGTAGTGCTTGCGAGCCCTTTCTAGGTTCTTTCCCCTATCCCAATTTCTTTCAAACATCGTAGGCATAGTCACTACCATCCCATCAAGGTCATATTGAGGCCTTTCTTTCGCCCTACCTGTCTCCAATATTACAGAAGCTAAAGACTTCGTACAAATTGCTCTGGATAGTCCGAGAGAAGCTCTTTCGTTCGACACGTAGAAACACGGCGTCATTGCACGCACATCGTTGTGACACGATTGCATTTCTAGTTCCTAGTTAGGTACTTTCCTCAAGTCCTTTTCCTTTCAAATTTCATAGGCATAGTTTCTAGCATCTCATCAAGGTCACCTATTTTTTCGATTTTCGAAATCACTCATGCATAACCGTCCAGGCGCCATTTTGTCCGTTTCTGGTCCATTTTAAGGCCTTTCTTTCTTCCTTCCTATCTCCACTATCCTAGATCCTACAACCTTCTAACAAATTCCTCTAGATAGTCTAAGAGATGTTCTTTCATCTGCGACATATAACCTGACCTTCAAAATGCCATCTTCGTACTCAATATTCAAATCTGAAACCGACTCCATCAAAAAAATCTCAAATTCTCGAAAATTTGACCCCTAAATAATCTAAAACTGCCATAACTTTCTCATATAAATTCCGTTTTGTATTTAAATTTAACAGTATCTTTATCTCATAATTGCACATAGCCATGCCAAATTTCACGCTCCAATGGCTTTGCACAACATAAATAGCGCCCTCTAAAGTTCTGGGAATTGGCTTTCTCTCTGTGGCCGTATCTCCATAATGGCTTGGCAAACCCGTACCCTTTTTTGGATTTAGATACTTGAAGATATGCCCTTTCCAGCCATATACAAAATTATATACCCTATCACTGACCAAATTTGAGAAAATTGCCCTCCAAATTCGCCATTTTCAAGAAAATTGAGTAATAACTTCAACTTGCTCTAAACCGGCGATCTTTATACCTACATCAATGAAACTTGGCAGACACATGTATCCATATACGTGACAACTGTCTGCTAAGTTTAGTAAATTGTAATGCCCTCTTTGCCAAGTTATCGCCAAAAATGATGAATTTACTATGCTTTGCGTAATAGCGCGTTTGATGCGTGCAGTACGTTTTTGCGCAGATGACAATGGTTTCAAACTGACCGCACTGAAGTGCCCTTTCGAATGATACCAAGTATGGTATATGTTCACGCAGAAAATTGTGAGTAAATCGCATTTGAACAAGGGTCACTATACGAATTCCGCCGAGTTTCCGCCCTATTATAACACGTTTCGGCCATGACGTCATTTTGTAAGACTGTTTATTTCGGTTGTGTTAGTATGGGCGGCCGTTCGTGCCAAAGCACGCGTCGCAACATGTTCATCATGCACCAAGTCCTATTGGTTTTGCATGCAGTGCTTGCGAGCCCTTTCTAGATCCCTTCCTCTACTCCAATTCCCTTCAAAATTCGTAGGCGTAGTCTCTAGCATTCCTTCAAGGTCACTAAATTCTTCGTTCTCCGGAAACCCTCATGCGTGACCGTCCAGGCACCATTTTTCCGTTTCGGGCCGTTTTGGTGACCTTTCTTTCGCCCTAACTATCTCCACTATCACAGAAGCTACAGACTTCTTACATATTGCTCTGGATAGTCCGAGAGTAGCTCCTTCGTTTGACTTGTAGAAACATGGCGTCATTGCACGCACATCGTTGTGACACGATTGCATTTCTAGTCTTACTTCTTCTTATCGTCCGGAATCCCATTCGTTTTGCACGTAGTGCTTGTTATTCCTGGTTAGGTGCTTTTCTCATGTCCTTTTCCTTTCAAATTTCATAGGCATAGTCTCTAACATCTCATCAAGGTCACTACATTCTTCGATTCTCGAAATCACTCATGCATGACCGTCCAGGCGCCATTTTGTCCGTTTCTGGTCCATTTTAAGGCCTTTCTTTCTTCCTTCCTATCTCCACTATCCTAGATCCTACAACCTTCTAACAAATTCCTCTAGATAGTCTAAGAGATTTTCTTTAATCTGCGACACATAACCTGCCCTTTAAAATGCCATCTTCGTACTCAAAATTCAAATCTGAAACCGACTCCATCAAAAACCTCTCAAATTCTTGAAAAATGGACCCCTAAATAATCTAAAACTGCCATAACTTTCTCAAATGAATTATGTTTTGTATTTAAATCTCACAGTATCTTTATCTCATAATTGCACATAGCCATGCCAAATTTCACGCTCCAATGGCTTTGCAAAAACATAAATAGCGCCCTCTAAAGTTCTGGGAATTGGCTTTCTTTCTGTGGCCGTATCTCCATTATGGCTTGGCAAACCCATACCCTTTTTTGGATTTAATTACTTGAAGATATGCCCTTTCCAACCATATACAAAATTATATACCCTTACACTGACCGACTTTGCGAAAAATGACCTCCAAATATGCAGTTTTCAAGAAAATTGCGAAATAACTTCAACTTGCTCTAAAATTACGATCCTTATGCCTACGTAAATGAAACTTGGCAGACACATGTATCCATATACGTGACAACTGTTTGCCAAGTTTGGTAAAATTCGATTATTTCAGCGCAAAGTTAACGCCCCAAAAGTTGAATTTACTATGCATTACGTAGTAGCGCGTTTAATGCGTGCAGTAAATTGCGCACAAATGACAATGGTGTCAAACTGACCGCAATGAAGTGCCCTTTCGAATGATACCAAGTATGGTATATGTTCACACAGAAAATTGTGAGTAAATCGCATTTGAACAGAGGTCACTATACGAATTCCGCCGAGTTTCATCGGTCAAGCATGACATTAAATGCTATTTCATACTCTGCATAACTAGTCCGAAAGATGCTCTTTCGTTTGACACGTAAAAACATGGCGTCATTGCACGCACATCGTTCTGACACGATTGCATTTCTAGTTTTATCTTCCTTTTCTCAATTTTCTGACAATGTGATAATAACTCATTAATATTTTTCACCGATATGTTTAGGTCATTCACCAATGTTAAGCAATATAACAACATTACCATAATGGCATTCGTATTAATGTATTATTTTGCATTTTCGTATAATGTGCATTTTTAAATTTGTCGACGCTTGATTAAGTGAATCTGAATCAACTCAACTCCCGTTTATTTGCTAACACTGTTTTGTCATAAATTGAACCCTCTTTCCTTTTTTCTCCTTCTCTCATCCCTCATCTTTCTCTTGTTTTTTCCTTCTTCTCTCTCTCTCTCTCTCTTTGAAAGGTTAGTGATGATCACCAAGATTTTCTTCAAATATATAGTCAGCTTATCCTTCACGTTAAATACATCAATTATCAATTTAATCGATATCATTATATTGTAGTATTGATATTAATATATCATTTTTAATTTACAATCTTTTCTTTTTAGTGATGTTTTCCCTACTTTAACTTATTACTGAATGTTTTAATCTATTGTTTTTAATGCCATTTTATTTGATACAATGTGAACCAAGTATTGTTGGCCTTCGGACATTATATTTGGTATATTTTTAATAAAACCGAAATTGAATTGAATTGTATTGAATTGAACTCTTAAATTATCTCTATCTCTTTCTCCCTATTTACTGTTTAGTCGTTAGATGCAATTCATTGAATGGCCCTGTCCATGGTTCTGTATCTTGTTCAAACTCTGCCAATGTTGGTTCCCGCTGTACCTACTCCTGCGCGACGGGATACCGGACATCAGGGGGATCTGTGACAAGAACTTGTGTAAGGTCTTTGAATTCTTGAACTTGGAGTGGATCTGTCCCTGCGTGTGCCCGTAAGTTGGCGGTTCCAATTCCTGTCTGACCTGACTGGATGAGAGTAATTGCAACATATCTATCAAACACAGTAAACATGAACACATTTTTATCATTTGTATCCAGTGAACTTGGGGGGGGGGGATGTCACTTTGTATTTATGCCATGAGAAAACATTCACATTCAGAAATCCGTTAGTGTAGGAAAATTAACCACAAAGCAAATGTGTTGTGAAAACTACCAAATGACCCTAGACAGTAATTCACTAAAACATCACCATTAATTTTATAACTACTCATCATATATTCATATGATTAAATTCGTTCATTTGATTGGTGTTGAATGAATCCTGGATTGAATATGTTTCCATATTGTCACAAGATTGGCATGGGCTATCCAATAGGCTATGGCTCTCGTGTTAATTTGTCGACAACTTGACAGTCTATGCAATCAATTTCGTACATGTTGTATCAAACTGCTTTATAAATGATCATTGTCATTTCAATTAATTATTTCCACGTCAAAATAAAAACAATATTGAATAATCTTCAAAATACAAACATATATATGATATTGGAATTAGGAGTATTTCAGGAAAGCATATAAATTGGTTGTTAAAACAGATCCTCACAAAATATTCAAAATAATAATAACTTTGGTACGTAATTCACATAAAATCAAGGATTACAAAGAAGGGGGGAGATTAATTTTCGTTAGGGCTCATAATACTAAACTTACCTACATTGTCAAATAATTAGTAAGCTTAAAGTTCGAATTTTCACCTGGAATGCCATGTTTATGTTTAAACTGCAATCAACGTATTTTTTTGTTCCGTTTCCATTGCAACAATCATTTTCAGAATGTAATTACGTTTGGAACGATGTACATTTGATATTATTGTATTATGTATATATGTACAAAGACTGTAAAACCAGTGAAAAAAAGAATTTCCTGAAAGGGGCAATAAATTTCAATTCAATTCAATTCAATTCAATTCAAGATAAAGATAATCGAGAAAAGAAGGAGGAAGCATTGCATAAATATTTATATTATAAGTTGTTGGCATTTATCGGATAGAAATTGATTATATATTCGACAACACTGGTTGATTTCATAGACATAAAACGGCATTTATTGTCCAAATAGAATTTACAGTTCAGATATTGCACTTTCCCATTGGAATGATAACTTGTAGAATTATGTAGAAATAAACCGGAGGATGAAGATTGGATTTGCGATAGTTTCCTCAAGAGAAGGATGTTGATGAAAGCGCGATACTGATTTAATCTATTGAAATAATGCCTGTAGATATAATTCGCCGATGTCGATGTTCTTCTCATGCAGAGACACGTCCGAGTGTAAAAATAGCATCAAGAGGAGTGAAGAGAGACTTTTTCACTTGCGTTAAAAAAGTGCTGATTTGCTTACTAAAACAATAAGGTGCCGTCCGATATAACACTCTGTTACTGGGTGGTTCAGCAGATGAAATTAACTTGGAGAATGTTCAGAATGTGCAGCTGTAGATTGTCAATGTTGTCAAAGTTCGGTGAACGAAAAGTACCAACTAAAGGTTCGTAAAATGCAAGGTATTTACAATGTTAATAAACGATTCGTGACCCTAACAAGTTCAAGTCACTACACAAGCAAAAGTAAAATATTTTTAAAATGAAATTATAACGTCACTCTTAACTTCTATTTATCCCTTTCATACGTGTTACTGTTTAGTCATTACGTGCACTTCATTGAGTGCCCCTATCCATGGTTCTGTTTCGTGTTCAAACTCTGCCAATGTTGGTTCAAGGTGTACTTACTCCTGCTCGACGGGATACCGGAGATCAGGGGGAATTGTGACAAGAATTTGTTCAAGGTCTTTGAATTCTGGAACTTGGAGTGGATCTGCCCCTGCGTGTGCCCGTAAGTTGGCGGTTCCAATTCCTGTCTACCCTGACTGAATGAGATTAATTGCAACATATCTATCAAACACAGTAAACATGAACACATTTCTATAAGTGTTTATCCAGTGTAGGCCTACTTGGGGGATTTCACTTTGAATTTATGCTATCAGAAAAACGTTCACACTAGATATCAATTGTAAGATGGAAACATCACTGAGACATATTTTTCTCTGCATGTAAATCCATAGGTATATCATGTGGCGCCCTCTCCGGTCCGTCCAATGGCCAGGTCAGTTGCTCTGACAGCAGTTACTACAACAGTCTCTGCGGCATTTCGTGCAGAGACGGATACACTCTTCAGGGCAGCTCTTCACGTTTGTGTGGAGTATCAGGAAGATGGTCAGGCTCCAACCCTTCCTGTGCAGGTAGGATGAAAAGAATTCTGGAAATTTTAAGCTTGCTTGGGCAGTTCTGGATCTAGAATTCTTGAGTGGGGGAGGGGAGAGGAGTGATTGTAGGGTTCATGCGCCTTATAATATTGAGTCACATGACCTTTTTTGTGTAGCACATATGTGTGTAGGCCCAGTATGATTGAAGGGGGCAAATATTTTCTTGGTCAGTTTTAATTCTCCAAGTAGTCAAAGCAATTTGGCAAGGCAAACGTGTACTTTTGCTACACAGCATTGTGTGGGATGAAATTGATGTTCATACATGTGTATATTCAAATACTAAATGATTTGTGATCGAAACAGTTCTGTTGCAGAGCTCAAATTTCTTCGAGTTTGAAAATTGTTTAAAAAGCAAACTAAAAATGAGACAACATAAATATTGACTGGATCTGGAGCAGTTCGTATGCTTACTGATGGTTATTATTTTGAGGAGATGAATTGAGGAATTCGTCATCTCTCAGGTGAAGATATATTCCAGATAGTTAAATTTGCAGAAAGCGACCTAGATCTATACGTGATATACAAGTTGATGATTGTACAATTCTTTCACATAGATCACAAAGCCCGCTTTACATAAACCATATGGTAAGGACTGTGTTGGATGTGTCCGCTTGTGATTATTATTAATGTTTTACTAATATAATTTGTTAATTTTGTCAAAGGGGCACCAGTTCACAAGATCTTGATCTTTTTTGGTTGCCCATAACGATAGTTTTATACATGTATATGATTATGTCAATATGTTGTATTGCATTGTACTATTTTCTTTTATATCGTTGAATAAAGATGAATTTAATTGAATTGAAAAAATTGAATAACAAAAACAACTTAAATAAGATAATAGAAACTCTCCACTGGGCGCGAATTAGGCAAAGCGAATCATCGGTCAGCCCGTCGGAGGAGGACTCATCGCGGGCTAGGCTGGGGCTTGATCTAAGAGGGATCTGTGGAGACGTTTTAGTTGAGATGATAGCTATAATGCAGCAACGCGATAGTGTTCATGATCAAGTCATGGTTTAAAGTACTACGTCAACAGTTAAATGCGTCAAACAATTCCTCCAATGCCAAGCACTTACGATTTTATGTCTAAACTCTAATGATGGCCTTACTTTGATAGACCTATAGTAGTTATGACATTAATTATTAAACTTAAGTTATGAAAACTCGATCTCATTGTTGTTTTTATGAATTTCCTGTGTTCTCATTGACTTTTATGATATACTGGCCCTTTCAACAGGCCTCTAACTTCTTAGTGTCTGATGATGTGTTTAATTTATGTTTGTATCCATCTTGATTTTGGTGGCATTCTTACGTTTTAGGCTATAATAATCGTGCATTGGTGATCTTTTCCATAAGACTGATTATAGTTGGGCTTCTAATCTTCCGTCATAATAAGCTCTTTGAAATAGTGACAATAAATATAAGGTCAGACCTACTGGCTACTGCTTTTCCAAATGTAAATAATCATGAAGTGTTTATAAAACAATGACATCTTCCCAGGCTTTCACATTGTGTAGCCATTGCTAATAATGATACTGAACAAAGTTTAATTCAGGCGTAAGTAGGATATTTTCAAAATGAAATTATAACGTCACTCTTAACTTCCCCAAAACTATGGAATGGCTCGCCAATAGAAATACAAAGCACTCCATCTCTCAATGTCTTCAAATCCAAATTAATCTTTGTTCAATTGAGAGATCCTATTTTGTAGAATTTAGTAAAAAAAAAAAAGTATATATTTGTATAAAAGCTGCGCTATATTTAATGTTTTATTATTATCATTATTATTCATTTCTTTCTCCCCATTCAGTCATCAGATGCAATTCATTAAGTGCCCCTATCCATGGTGCTGTATCGTGTTCAAACTCTGCCAACGTGGGCTCCCACTGTACCTACTCCTGCTCGACGGGATATCGGACATCAAGAGTGACTGTTACAAGATTTTGTTTCGGGTCTGGGACTTCTGGTAATTGGATTGGATCTGCCCCTACGTGTGTCCGTAAGTTGACGGTTCCAATCCCTTACTACCCTGACTGGATTAGAGTTGCAACAGATCTTTTAAACATGTCTATCATTTTAATCATTTTTACCCAGTGTACTATAGGGTGTCACTTTAAATTCATGTTGTGAGATAACATTCACACAAGCTGTCTCTTGTAAGACATGATCACCACTGGCACATTGTTTTCCCACAGGTATATCATGTGGCGCCCTCTCCAGTCTGTCCAATGGTCAAGTCAGTTGCTCTGACAGCAGTTACTACAACAGTCTCTGCAACGTATCCTGCAATGAGGGATACACTCTTCATGGCAGCTCTTCACGTTCATGTGGAGTATCAGGAAGTTGGTCAGGCTCCAACCCTTCCTGTGCAGGTAATATGATGATCGGAATTCTGGATAGTTTGAGTTTGCTTGGGCAGTTCCGAATCCAGGATTCTTCAGTGGGTTTCAGAGGGGGAGAGGGGAAGGAATGATTGCAGGTTCCATGCACCTTTTAACAATATCATTGAGTCACATGGATCTATTTCGTGGACCACATAGGTGTGTAGGCATAGTAGGATTTCAGGACCCGACACTTTTCCATTTCAGGCTTTCCAAGCTTTATATTGTACAGCACTTATGGATCTCAAATATGTCTCTTTTCAATTTCATAGGATGAAATTATTTAGTTGGTATCCTAGCTATAAATCTTAATATAAGTTAGTGTACAATTAAATGTTAAATTATATCAATAAACTTTCATATTCAGTAAATATCTCTGAATGCATGGCATTTGTAAAACAATTCAAGTAGAAATATTGAAATATGTGATTACGTAGGCCTACGTATTTCGTAATCTGAACAAGCTATGGCTCTCGAGTTTAATGATTTAACAGTCTTTGAAATCAAGTTCAAACATGTTGTAACCGCTTTTGTGTTCATTTTCTTTTAATGTATTTATATCCACGTTGAAGTAAAAGCAATATTATATAATCTTCAAAATACAAACATATAATTAAAATACGATATTTAAACTGAAAAGATGATTGGTACTACACAATCGGAGAATAGCGTTGAAAAGAGCCATACTAAAGCTTTTTTATGAGCTGTTATTTTCCCAAGAGTTATATTTTTCGCAAATTTCGCGAATTGGATAAAATCGCGAATCTATCAACACGCCATTTTGCCACTTCATCATTTCGGAGCGCGAAAACATCAGCATGAAATTATGTTTTACGCCCTCTCGATTGCCAGTACGTACCCTTTGCATTAGCACCACGTACCTACGCGTACGATTGTGTGTAACAGGCGTAGGTATGGCGTATTATTGCGTAGTGTTGCGTTGACTTGCGTAGACAACGCATACTTTCTGCGTCTAGTATCTACGCTGAAAGTGCGCGAACAAGTGAGTCCATCTTGCGTACCCCTACTAGGCAATACGCAACTCAACTCTACGTATGGCCTTCTGTGAAAAGGGCTTAATAGCCTGTCATTCGCGAAATTTTCTGTACGCAAAAATTTCAGCTTTATTATCTGAATTGGGAGGATAAGGAAAGGATAAGAAATTGCTTGTTAAAAAAGATCCTCACAAAATATACAAAGTAACAATATCATGGGTACGTAATTCACATAAAATCAACATTACAAGGGATGGGGGGTAAGATAAAGATAATCGAGAAAAGAAGGAGGAGGCATTGCATAAACATTGATATTATTAGTTATTCGAATTTATCGAAAAGAAATTGATTATATAGTCGTTTAAATTGGTTGCTTTAACAGATACAACTGCACCGAAGTTCACTAATTGTCCGAATAGAATTGGAAATCAGTACACCACAACGACGGGAATGACTGTTTGGTGGAGTACACCAGGTGCAACCGACAATGATGGCTTAGATCCTGTATTGTAAGTAGTTGCAAAGCTCAAGCGCGTTGTACACGAGGCGCCATAGCAATAGACACTTGACTAATATAGATATAATGACTGCTATGAGAGGAATAGTTGTGTTATAGGCTCAAGGGGACGTTACATCCAGATATCACCCCGAGTAGTGTCCCTTTCTATAAAGGGACACTAACCCCGAGGCGTGCCGAGGAGCGATAGCAAGATGTTACGTCGCCTTGAGCTTTAAAAAAACAACTATTCCTCGAATATTAAAACAGTCCTGATATCTTTTATATACCGATACTGTTAAAAAAGGTCACGAAATACATGTGCGACTATGCCTAGCACTATGAACATGACGGACAAAGAAAGAGGACAAAATATACAGTTCCTCATTCTACCTCAACAATTGCTGTGGTAGACAAAGGAACATCCCTTCACTGCTATTATGTAAAAATGTGTAGAACAGGGGTCACATGCATATTCACCTGTTCTACACATTTTTACATAATAGCAGTGAAGAGATGTTCCTTTGTCTACCATAGCAATTGTTGGGGTAGAATGCGGAACCGTATATTTTGTCCTCTTTCTGTGTCCGTCATGTTCATAGTGTAGGTCACATATACACCGGGCCCCGTACGAATTTCCCTACCCGGCGGCTTTCTGCAGTTTTTAGAGACCGTACGGGGCCCTTCCGATTTTAATTTCTACGGCATGTGTGGTCACATATTCTGCAGCGCCCGGGAGGCTCCCGGTGAAAATTGGTTGAGTGAAAATGCAAAACGCCCGTAAGGGTGCCGGCCGGTAAGCTTACGGGCTCTGTACGATGAACAGGTGCACCCCACGGCTCCCGGGGCCCGGCAGGGTTCCTCAAGGCACCCGGCTGGGTTCCGTGCAGAGCACTGAGCTATGTGTCTTCTGACATCCGCCCCTCTTTTGAGAATTGACAGAGACATCGTGAAGGGCCGTCCGATTACCGTCCGGAGCCCGCATGGGACCCGTACGGTGCCCCAAGGGCCCATTACGGGCTTTCTACGGCTTAAAGGTATATACCTGTTCCGGTCATGCGATGGCATTGGGAAAGACACGTTGTGAAATCGAACAGAAAAGGTTGATCATCAAGCATATAAGTATTGGTGCCTACTGCAAGGTTCTGGAATCATCAAAATGATGAGAAATTTAGCCCAGTCTTGGTAAAGTTACATTGAAGCACTGTACACAAAATGATGTATATGGGACTACGCGATATCTATCCAGTCCGGAAAGATATAATAATTTACCAAATATATCAATTAGTTGGCGGTGTCCCGGCAAAATTTGTATCATCACGTAGTAGTCAAAACCTATTCTTTCACATGATTGGTAATAAGAGCTTCCGTTTCATTTTTTGAGAGGGGTGCGTTTCCTAAACTGGTCTATAATATATAATAATATATATATATAATATCATATTTAATATTATAACATTTAACGGTCAGATAAAAACGAAGGGATAATTGGGAGCAGCCGACTCAGCACCACGGCGCCCGTACGGCTGGTGAAAAATCTCCCAGTGGCCGTAGGAACTGTACAGGTTAATGTAAAAGCACCATTATGCCTAGGTCATATATAAACCGGGCCCCGTACGAATTTCCCTACCCGGCGGCTTTAGAGACCGTACGGGAACCGTCCAATTTTCATTTCTACGGCATGTGTGGTCACATATTCTGCGGCGCCCGGGAGGTGCCCGGAGAAAATTGGTCGAGTGAAATGCAAGGCGCCCGTAAGGGTGCCGGCCGAGTGCCGGCCGGTAACCTTACGGGCTCCGTCCGATGAGCAGGTGTACCGATGGCTCCCGGAAGGTGCCCGGCCGGGGTCCTCAAGGCGCCCGGACGGGTGCCGTGCGGTGCACTGAACTACAGAGTGAGTCAGAAAAAATGTCCCACTTTTTAAAAGTTGTATTGTTTTAAGTATGAATATTTAATCATGGGTTTCATGATATATCTTGATAGAGTTATCCTCCCCGTACATTTAGGTACCATTTTCATTTGAATCTCTGCATGCATCACTGAATATCAGACAATCTTTACAAGACTGCCAGATCTCACTTGCGCCAAGTTACTGGGTGAGGAATAAAACAGTGCATTTAACAAAGACAGTCAGACACGCGCACACGCACACACATACACACACGCACACACGCACAAAACACACGCGGTGACAATTGTTTCATAATTACCCCTTTTCTGATTGAGCATTGATTTTTATCAAGATCGCTGAATGTTTAAGTGGCATAACCACAAACATCTTTCCCTTTTGTACACATTCACTACCACCATCATGTCATCATCACCATCATTGTCATCATCTTAATCTTCATCATCATCATCATCATTATCATCTTCATCATTATCATCATCATGAAGCACAACATCCGCCAATACGCACCAAGAGGACAGCGGCCACTCAACTTTTCTACGATAAGAAGAATTCCCAACAAAAAGTAACAGTTTGGGTGGGCCTTGTCGGGAATGGAATGCTCATTTGTGTGCGTGTGCGTGTGCGTGTGTGTGTGTGTGCGTGTGTGTGTGTGTGTGCGCGTGTGTTTGTGTGTTTTTGTCTGTCTGGCTAATTGGATAATTGAAATAAAACTGGCTGTCTTTGTTCAAAACATTATTTTATTCCTTACCTTGCTCACCCAGTAACTTGGCGCAATTGAGATCTGGCAGTCTTGTAAAGATTGTCTGATGTTCAGTCATGCATGCAGAGATTCAAATGAAAATGGTACCTAAATGTACTGGGAGGACAACTCTATCAAGACATATCATGAAACTCATGATTAATATTCATACTTCAAACAATACAACTTTTAAAAAGTGGGACATTTGTTCTGACTCACTCTGTATGTGTCCTCTGGTATCCGCACCTCCTGTATTTAAAACTGCGTTGTACATTTCAAGATGCCGCCGTGAAGGACCCGCACGGGCAATGTTCATTTTAAATGGCCCCCGGACGGCAGACGCCTGTTGTTGTATATATCACCCGGCGCTCTTGAGGGGCCCGTGAGGGCGCCGTAGGGTACTCATACGGAACCCTTGAGCACCGCAAGGCGCCCGTAAAGATTTTTCATGAGAATTGACCCCCAAAATCGTGAGGGGCTGTCCGGGCACAGTGCGGAGCCCGCATGGGACCCGTAAGGTGCCCTACGGGAACTTTACAGGCTTTCTAAGTCCTAACGGTCAGATAAAATCGCCGGGAGAATTGGGAGCAGCCAACTCAGCACCACGGGGCCCGTACGGCTTAAAAACTGTCCCGGCGCCCGTAGGAACTTTACGGCAACCGGCCGAACGAGGCCGAAAATTCCCAAAATGTCTGTTCTTACTCGCCGTACGGGCCCCGGAGTGTATATGTGAAAGCCCCATTACTGGGGCTTTCACGTGCGGTCTCTAAAATCCACGACAAGCCGCCGGGTAGGGAAAATCGTACGGGGCCCGGTTTATATGTGACCTAGGCACATGGGGTCCAGGGGCGTCGCTAAAGGGGAGGGGGTGTGGGGGGTGCGACACCCCTCCACCCGTCAGGATATTGTCGGTAAAATTGCGCTGCCGTCGGGAAAAAAGAGAAAAGGGGAGGGGGAAAAAGAGAGGGAAAGGAAAGAAAGGAAAAAAAAAGGAAAGAAAAGAAAAAAAGGAAAAGAAAGGAAAGAAAGGAAAAGAAAGGAAAGAAAAGAGAAGAAAGAAAGAGAAAATAAAAAAGAGGGAGGAGAGGAAAGAAAGGAAAAGAAAGAAAAGAAAGAAAAGGAAAACAAGAAGAAGAAAAAAGAGAAAAGGGAAACAAAAGAAACGGGGGATGAAAGAGAGGAGAGAGAGGGGAAAGGAGGAGTGGGAGTAAAAGAGAGAGGGGGTTTGTTGGGTGGAGTCGTCTCATCGAGGGAGCAAGAAAGACACGGTAAATATGTTGCTGTGTCGGGTCATCTGTGTCGGTATTCTTGCTCGATCCTCGTGTACTATATCAATGCAGAAGTTTCAATTCGGTGAGATGTATATTGTCGGTCGGCCGACAAGTTTGTTCCCTACTAACTGTGACCTTTATCCGTTGTGACGACTTTGAGAGTGACTACAACTACAATACTTGTATTTCCTTGAAGTTTCACTTTCCTTTAATATCAGCTAAAGAAATCAGAGGTTTAAAATTTTAAAAAGAGTCAACAACGGTACGACGAATCGTCTTCCTTTCTCTATATTTTGATGAAACGCCAAAAATTCCGCGCTTTGCGCGGAAGAGGAAAACTGAATTCAGTCAAATTAGGTTTAAGGGTCGCGAACGATACAACGAATCGTCTGCTTTGTCTAATAATTTAAGGAAATGTCAAAGCTTCCGCGCTTCGCGTGAGAGGGGGAAACTGAATTCAGACAAATAGGGCTTATTAAGAGTCGAAAGCGGTACAACGAATCGTCTGCTTTCTCTAATAATTTGAGGAAACGTCAAAGCTTCATCGCTTCGCGCGGGAGGGGGGGGGGAGAAACTGAATTCAGATAAGGATTAAGAGTCGAGAACAGTACAACAAATCGTTTGCTTTCTCTTATAATTTAAGGAAACGTCAAAGCTTCCACGCTTTGCGCGGGAGGAGGAAAACTGAATTCAGACGAATTAGGGTTAAGGGTCGCGAACGGTACAACGAATCGTCTGCTTTGTCTAATAATTGAAGAAAACGTCAAAGCTTCCGCGCTTCGCGAGAGAGGGGGAAACTGAATTCAGATAAGTAGGGCTTAATAAGAGTCGAAAACGGTGCAACGAATCGTCTCCTTTCTATAATGATTAAATCAAATGTCTAAGCCTTACGCGGTTCGCGCGGGAAGGAGGAAACTGATTTCAAACAAGGATTAAAGATAAAGTTTAGTTCTGGTCATGCAATAACATTGTGACAGAAACGTAGTGGAATCATCTTACTTAATACTGCAAAGTTCTGGAATCATCAATATGATAAGAAATATGGCCAAGTCTTGTTAAAGTTACAAGCACTGTACACAGAAAGATGTATATGGGACTACACGAGTATGTAGCATAACAAAATCTGTCCTGATTTTTATGATGTTACATGCCATGTTCAAAATATTAAGGCATTTGAAGAGCCATGCTTTTCAGGAAACATTTTTTATCTGATATTCTTCCACACTTGCATAATAACAATGATAACGCTCACAAATTATTGTTCACCTCTTCCCAAGAACTCAAGCTTCTCTTTAAGAGTCGAAAAAAGGTACAATGAATCGTCTGTTTTCTTTAATAATTTAAGCAAACGCTAAAGCTTCTGCGCTTCGCGCTAAAGGGGGAAACTGAATTCAGACAATTAGGGCTTATTAAGAGTCGAAAACGATACAACAAATCGTCTTCTTTCTCTAATAATTTAAGGAAACGTCAAAACTTCCGCGCTTCGCGCTAAAGGGGGAGAAACTGAATTCAGACAAGAATTAAGAGTCCAGAACAGTACGCCGAATCGTCTGCTTTTTCTCATAATTTAATGAAACGTCAAAGCTTCGCGCGGGAGGGGGAGAAACTGAATTCAGACAAGAATTAAGAGTCGAGCACGGTTTAACGAATCGTCTACTTCTCTAATAATTTCATGAAACGTCAAAGCTCCGCGCTGCGCGGGAGGGGGAGAACTGAATTCAGATAAGGATTAAGAGTCGAGAACAGTACACCAAATCGTCTGCTTTTTCTCATAATTTAATGAAACGTCAAAGCTTCTGTGCTTCGCGCGGGAGGGGAAGAAACTGAATTCAGACAAGGATTAACAGTCGAGAACGGTACAGCAAATCGTCTTCTTTTTATAATAATTTAATAAAACGTCAAAGCTTTCGAGCTTCGTGCGAGGGGGGGGCAACTTCATTCAAACATGGATTAACAGTCGAGAAAAGTACAATAAATCGTCTTCTTTTCCTAATAATGTAAGGAAACGTCTAAGCTTCCGCGCTTCGCGCAGGAGGCCTATCACCCACACCCCCCTAATGCGCGGGCTTCGCGCGCTCTTTAAATGATTCGCTCGCTCACTACCGCCCCTCCCTGAAATAAGATCCTAGCTCCGCGCCTGCATTAAAATATATAGCTATGATGCTGAATAAGTTGACGAAATAATTCGTATATTTATGTCGTCGAGGAAAATGACCATTTGCGCATACGCAAGTGCTATAGATAGTCTATAGGAAAAACAATTAAGCCTTCGATCGGCCCCGGGTTTATAGGGTTAAATTTGTAAATATTGGGACATTTAATTTTGTCGCTAATTGGTGACTAGTTTTGTCTGTAATCGTTGGCCTCTACACCCCCCACTGAAAAAGGTCTAGCGACGCCCCTGATGGGGTCCTCACATGCAGAACTATGCGGTTTGCTCCAGTAGAACAGAAAAAGCAGAAGTAATGAATAGTTAATCACGGGGTCCTCACATTTAAAAAATCAGCATCAAACTGTGCTCCAATAGAACAGGGAAAGCAGAAGTAATTAACTCAAACAGTAACCTTTGTCATAAAACTCCATAAAACTCGAAATTTGCAACATACATGTACTTAAACAGTCTGCGAGATTCCAGGCTACGTACATGTTGTAGATGTTTACAACGCAGTTCTGGATATTGAATGTAGGGGCTTGGAACTACTGGCTAGAAACGAGGTCTGTGTTGATAACTTGCAGGTAGGCCTAGTATTCGAATATTTTTACGGAGAATTTCACGGAGTTTTTGGTGTTCTGGTTTTCTCAGAATTAATCAAGTCTTGTATATTTTGATCATCATCATCAAGAAGTTAAAATCTAGGTAGAATCTCTTCAGCAATTTTTACCTTCTTTGGACATAAATAAAGTTTGGAAACTAAAAAATCAGAGATTACATGTAGGCCTATACACTCGAGATCGACGTTCGTCTGCGCTGTAAAGAAACCTAAAATGTAGCGGCGACCAAATTAATCGCAGACAAAAAGCGCTATATAGTAGCCGCGCTCATACAATGTTAGTTTTAACACGTAAACCAATAGGGATTGCAGCAAAATTAAACTATTTTCCTGGTACCCGTAATCTTGCGAGAATCTTACTCATGGACTATTGACCATTTCTTGCATTGTTTGTCTCTTTACGGGAATGGCTAAAATCACGAATCCACTTTAGACCAATCAAATGGCTAGAATTCTAAAGAGAGGTATATAGTGTATTTCCCTAATCCCTGGTACCAGCCATTTCATTCACATTATATGATATAAAGGCACCTCTGTGGATGGACTCCAATTTAAATTATTTAGATGTTTCTATGTCAGACAAGCATCTGGCAAGCTTTATTGGTGCCAAGAGAAAACTTTTGTTCAAAAAGTGTGCATAAAACTAGTGAACAGGTAAATGACGCCTCATTTGCATTGGGTATACATGTTTACTACTTTTGTATGTAAATCTCTTCAAAATGGTCCCTCTAATTTTTAATCGAGTTTTCATTTTTTGACGAATCAAGGCTACAGAATTGAAGTCTGTGTATAAAAGAAATTAGTTCACATGACAATGCTATTTTACATTGCACTTGTCAATCTCCATTATTCACTGAGCAGGGACCAGGTGGCATAAAAATAGACACCAGGGAGGGGGGGGGGGCTCTAAAAAACAGAGAACCCTTTTAATTTATTTAGAATATAACCTAAAAGAAATGCATTTTTAAAATGAAATTATTAATAAAAGTAAAGATTTTTTTGTTGGGGGGAGGGGGGTATGGACACTCCCGGCGCCTCAAATTATTTACCAGTTATAGTCGAGCAGCCAAATATTTATGTTGCACTTTAATATAATTGGGTATCTATCTACACCTTGGTGGAGAGTGGCACAATTGGACCAATGTCTTGCCAAAGTGTAGATCACATGGTGCATCACAAGGTTTGAGTCCCGCCCTGGCACTGTTGTCCTTCGACAAGACATTAATCTACATTTGCCACTCTGTACCACCATGCAGTGCGTGGGTTCCTGGTAGGTATTTAGTCTTTGAATGCTTTAGCTAATAGGGCAGCTAAATCGAGGGTAATGTAGATACAGATGTATTACTATTATCATTATTATTAGCAGACTTCGGCACTAGTGGTTCTAAGCCACCCCCAAATTTTCGCGAAGCAAATTTAATTAGGGCAAGGACCCTTACGCCCCAACCCCTCCAAAAGACAACCCCACAATTTTCTAGCATTACTGAAAATAACCTCCAGTGATGTATATTTATGATGGATTTTATCCCATATGTAGCGAAACGTCTGGTTCGGGTCCTGGTTCGACTTTCGCAGCGGGTTCTCATTCTACAAGATACACTGCCCGAGACAGTACCGGGAATCAAGCAACTTGTACTGTATCTTTTACGGTCATTGGTAAGATTTGAATCGTTAGACAGAGAGATAGCAGGCCTGATAATTTCTAGATTTAAATCGGTGATATCCTAACAATTTTTCCCCTATTAAAAAAATATATATATATTTATCATGATTTGTTTTCTCCAAAAATGGATAGTCGCTGAGATTTATGTAAATCCTGTCTAAAATTAGGAGGGGTGAGGTGCGGGTTTTAATGACTTGCGCAAGTGCCCGGCACCTCGCTTCGCACGGGTTTATAAACCTATTGGCCCGAATTCACAAAGCAAGGTTTGAGCTCAGACCAAGGTTTGAGCTCAAACCTCCTTTTGTTTCACCAAACATCCTTTTGTTATTTACAAACCTGGTTTGGCGAAACAAAAGGAGGTTTGAGCTCAAACCTTGCTTTGTGAATTCGGGCCACTTTGTTTAAACATTCACTAAACCTTGTTCTAAACCTCTTGCTATCACCCGTGAGAGAAAGAGAATGAGAGAGAGAGAGAGGGAGAAGGTGGGGGGGATCTTGGTCCTTTCTATGGTGACAGAGCACTGGCATGTGGAGGCCCAAAACTTTGGAACGCCCTCCCAGTATCGCAACTCTCCATTACAGACAAAAACAAAACCTCTTCTTCATGATATACAATGTAATAGTCTAAATGAAAAGCAAAAGTTATATTCGTAGTATTGACGTCATTTGTAATGAGTATGGTATTGATAAAAATAGTCTTTGTCTGAAATACTATCTGTCTGTGAACAATGGTGCATATCTTCAAAGGCTTTCATGATGTGTAACCATTGTTAATACTGATACAAAACAAATTTTAATCCAGGCATAAGTAGAATATGTTAAAAATGAAATTACAACGCTTAACCTCACTTTATTTATTTCTCCCCTTTCAGTGAGATGCACCTCATTGAGTCGCCCTACCCATGGTTCTGTATCTTGTTCAAACTCTGCCAATGTTGGTTCCTTCTGTACCTACTCCTGTTCGACGGGATACCGGACATCAGGGGTGACTGTTACAAGATTTTGTTTCGGGTCTGGGACTTCTGGTAATTGGAGTGGCTCTGCCCCTGCGTGTGTTCGTAAGTTGATGGTTCCAATTTCTCACTACCCTTACTGAATAAGAGTTGCAACATATCTTTTAAACGCAGTATACATGAACGCACTTTTTTCATTTTTATCCAGTGTACTTGGGTGGGGGGGGGGGGTATGTCAATTTGAATTTATGCTGCGAGATAACATTCACATAAGCTGTCACTTATAAGACAAAAACATTACTGGCACATCGTGTTTCTGCATGTAAATCCACAGGTATATCATGTGGCGCACTCTCCAGTCCGTCCAATGGTCGAGTCAGTTGCTCTGACAGCAGTTACTACAACAGCCTCTGCAGTGTATCCTGCAACGAGGGATACACTCTTCAGGGCAGCTCTGTACGTGCGTGTGGAGAATCTGGAAGTTGGTCAGGCTCCAACCCTTCCTGTGCAGGTAGGATGAATATAATTCTGGAAATTTTGAGCTTAGGCAGTGTGTGTGTGTGTGTGTGTGTGTGTGTGTGTAATTGGGTTTTTACAGACGTGTATCAATCAGATATGATTATTTACGTCTGGGGACCGACTTTTAAAGTCATCATCCGAAAGACGTGACTGAACCTCGGCTGAATCAGTTTGTAACTTCCATTGTTAGCTGGAGTACAGGTGCACGCCACAACGCCTAGTTCTGGATCCAGGATTCCTATATTAAGTAGGTGAGGGGGAGGGGATGATTGTAGGGTTCAAGCACCTTCTAACAATATCATTGAGTCACATGGACCTATTTTGTGTGCCACATAGGTGTGTAGACCATGATTGACAAGAAAAAGAAGATTATTTCCTTTCTCAATTTGAATTCTCTGAGTAGTTAAAGCATTTTGGCAAGAAATACATGAATTGGATGATTAAAGTGATCCATTTGGGGTATGATTGTAAATAGGGTCATTCACTTCACTTTTAGTCAAGAAGTTGAGGGTTCAACTCCCAGCCCAGCATTTATGTCCTTTAACGAGACATTAGTCTACATTGATTTCCTATCACTTGTATGTTGTATTCTAGATACCACTGCACCGGTCTTCACTGGATGCCCCCCGTCCCAGACTGTATATGCTCCCGCACTGTCCTCAAGTGCAACGATCAGTTGGTCAGCACCAACTGTATCCGATAACTCAGGAGAATCCATCACCCCCCGTCTTGACCGTGGGTCAACTGCACCAGGAACTTCTCGTCCAGAAGGCACCCATACCGTAGCTTATGTTGCTGTGGATAGCTCAGGAAATGAAGCCTCTTGTCGATTCTCTATCACTGTTGAAGGTAAGTCAAAGATAGGCACAATGCCACTGTCACATATTCGTGATGTTATAATATGATATATGTATATCATGAGCTGAGAAACCCTGGCCTGGCTTCCATGATGAATGGCTAATCTTGATTTCTGGGATTGTAATTGAGTCATTCTAAGTCTGGAGTATTGTAGGTACATTCATCCTTGGAAAGGTGGGAATATCAGAGGATTAATATCCTTTTTTGGAGCTGGGTAGTACACACTTTTTGTTGAGCTAGAGAAAGGAAAGTCCACTCTACCTAATAGTAGGCAAGCTAGAGCTTACCATGTATCGTATATTGGTAATATCATGAATGTTGTTGATTTTGCAAAACTTATATAATATTCTAAAAACTTTGGGGACATTGTTGAACTAACATGGGTGGCCCCATTTTAACTCCGGACCCCTATTGTGAATTGTTAACAGGGAGTAGATGCATGCAAACTCCAGAAACTATCATCTGTAGACTAAATGTAAATAAATTGATGTGGAACGCTGATTTTAGAATACGAATTCATTCTGATAGCATTGAATATATCCCACCGCTGCCACCATTATAGGAGTTACAAATGGAGGGGTGACCTGACATTCGCTCTGGTGAAATATGCTTAATGCTTTATATAGGGAAAGGGTAAGAGTTAGGTTTAGGTTTTAAGTCGGGTTTAGGGAAAGGTTTTTTTGTTGTTGTAGTGTTTGGTCGAGTGTTAAAGTTGAGAAATCCGTTAGTGTAGGAAAATTAACCACAAAGCAAATGTGGTGTGGAAACCATCAAATGACCCTAGACAGTAGTTCAATTGAAACATCATCTTTAATTACATACTACATATCATCATCATATTATTTGATTTGTTCAATTGCTTGGTGTTGAATGAATCCTGGATTTAATATGTTCCCGTGTTGCCTGATGTAGAGATGACTTTCCATGAAATGCCTATTGCTTTCCAGTTATCCGCTGCAGCAGTCTCTCTGCTTCTGCTCCACTCCAAGTGGCCTGTCCAGACGGTGCAATAAGAGGCTCTGTATGTACGTACGGCTGTGGTGTCGGATACAGGCTCCGGGGTCAAAGGCCAAATGTCAAATGCCAGAAGAGTGGTTCAGCCGGTTCATGGAGTCAGCCACCGCTAACCTGTCAGAGTATGTAATGTGAAGTTTAAAATAAAATCACTTGAAGGGTGTAGTATGGTTTACTCATTAAATTATTGGCTGGTACTCTCCGAGAATCAAACAAAACTCAAAGCCCCTCTTAAGTGTCGGGAGCCCCAAATTCGATAAAAATATTGATAAAAGATTACATCATTTTGGTTTTTCTGTTGCACGCAGAAAACCTAAACAAATTATTCTTTCATCAATATTCGACTTCAAACACATTTATTTCGAAAATCCTTGCAGAAATGTGTCTTAAATGACATTGTCCTGCACATCATGAGAGTTGAAGTGAAATTTTGCCATCACATTTTTAGGGCTCTCAACACTTTAAAGTATACAACAGGGATGCCAGTTAAGATATTATTAGCTATACCAATATTATTTTTACATGCAGCAAAATGAAACAAGACTATTCTTGTCACATTCCTGTTCACACATTAGATTTTTCAAATTGATAATTTGAATCACCCAGGAATCCACTGCAGGAAGCCTGACCTCACCACGGCTCTTCAGATCATCACCACCCAGGCCTGCCCCACTGGCGACCGGGTACCGTCTGGCAATCAGTGTCACTTCTCCTGCGGCACTGGGTACTACCTCACTGGGAATGCCGCCCTCACATGTCAACATGATCGAACCTGGAATCTAGCCGTACCAACGTGTCACTGTAGGTGCTCCCGGATTGATATCAGGAACTTTTAGATTCTTTTAAGGCACTGGCAGTGACGTCACAGTCCACGTTCTCGTCGTGCAGAATCTAAAAGTCCATATTGCCATGTGGAATAAATGATTAAAATTGTTTTAATGAAATTTTTAGGTGATCCTGTTTATGTATGTATTAAAGCGATCATATATTTGTAAAGAATGTATACAATAAGTAAGCTACATTTTTTCTAATTATTAGCAATAATTACATGTAGCTGATTTTCATCTCTTGTATTATCATAATAATAATAATCATTATCTATCTGTGGTTCTCCTACTTGTGTAGAGGGATTGTTAGGCTAGTCTTCTCCTTATCTCTTCTTCTATTAAATTAACCCGTACTGTGCTATTGCAGCAGTTTTACACAAACTCACTTAATAGTATGTTGCATGTGGCAAGCTATGCAAAGAGTTACATGTCGTGATTCAACATCTTGCTTTCATCAGTAATAACCTGTTCAGGTAGTGACCTTCCTGCCCCAGTCAATGGAGAGAAGCGTGGATGTTCCTCTTCCAGTGAGAACTACGGAGCGGTCTGCACCCTGGCGTGTAATGATGGGTATCTACCAGCCACGCCCGTTCAGAGGACCTGCTCCGACGATGGTAACGGTGGTGAGAACGGAGTCTGGGCAGGACCTGATCTGACTTGTACAAGTAAGTTCCATCGAACCAGACAGTCTAACCAATGCAGGTGGTTGTGATAATCTTGTTTATGTAACTCCCTTTCAGATGTTTCCGATACATGGTGTGGATGTTGATTAAATGCTAATGCAATTATACAAAATGAAACAAACAATGGGGGAAATTTCTGGTATTTCATTAATACATGATTGTGGAGTTAGAGGTTGGGATAACTTTAGATAATGAGGTCAGGTGCTTTGGTCATTTTCGAGCCCTGTGAAAATAATTTTTCCATTTGACATGGTGATTTCTTTAGGCCCTTGATATTACGAGGTTTAACTGTAGTAGTAAACAAGTTATGGAACTGAGGAACTTTGAAGAGTGTAATTTTAGAAGAAATGTCATTAATACATGATTGTGGAGTTAGAGGTTGGGATAACTTTAGATAATGAGGTCAGGTGCTTTGGTCATTTTCGAGCCCTGTGAAAATAATTTTTCCATTTGACATGGTGATTTCTTTAGGCCCTTGATATTACGAGGTTTAACTGTAGTAGTAAACAAGTTATGGAACTGAGGAACTTTGAAGAGTGTAATTTTAGAAGAAATGTCATTAATACATGATTGTGGAGTTAGAGGTTGGGATAACTTTAGATAATGAGGTCAGGTGCTTTGGTCATTTTCGAGCCCTGTGAAAATAATTTTTCCATTTGACATGGTGATTTCTTTAGGCCCTTGATATTACGAGGTTTAACTGTAGTATTAAACAAGTTATGGAACTGAGGAACTTTGAAGAGTGTAATTTTAGAAGAAATGTCATTAATACATGATTGTGGAGTTAGAGGTTGGGATAACTTTAGATAATGAGGTCAGGTGCTTTGGTCATTTTCGAGCCCTGTGAAAATAATGTTTCCATTTGACATGGTGATTTCTTTAGGCCCTTGATATTACGAGGTTCCACTGTAGTAGTAGACAAGACTGGAATTGAAAAACTTTGAAGAATGTAATTTAAGAAGTAATTTCAGAAAGTGAACTTCTACAATTTTTGTTTCTCTTCTTCCGTAAAGGCATTTTAAAAAGTAATAACAAAATATGAATTGCATGCAGTCATGCACATCAACAGGAATCAACTTATATTTGGATGTCAACCAACCTTTAAAGCATGTTGAGAGCCTTTTTCAGAGGTATAATGTAAAATAATAATACAGATCTTAATCTGTGTTGTTATTATTATATGTGTATGACCACACAATGATTCCCTATTTCAGACCTCATTAGTAGAGAATCAAAGGTTTTGAGATAATTATTGTACATTCACAGTGTGCGTACATGTACAAACTTTTGTGCAGTATCTTTCCAGTGACAATAATTTGGTCATAGATGGGGTTTGTCCGTATCATCTGAGAAACACAAAAGTACACTGTACTATGCACAGTATTCATTTTCTTAAGATTTGTTACTACTTCCTTTTCGTACTATTTATTTTATCGTAATTTCCCCCCTTTTTTTTAATCCTAGATTTTAAAATGTCCTATTCAATGAATCGTTTTATCTTGTCTTATAATCCATTTATTTAAGATTACGTTGTTCTGAACTGAATTTGTTCTTTGTTATGTAAAATATATTTCACGTATTTGTAAATGTTAGAGGGGTTCTTTGGAAAGCAAGCCATCAAAATTTATTTGTTGCTTTGAACGGAACTACCCTCCAAAGATATAACTGAATAAATAAATCAATGAATGAATATCACATCTCCAAACTATCTTTTACCTCATACTTCATAATAGATCCAGTGCCACTTTGAGATGACGTAGTCCGTCGATGCGGAGCTCAACAACCGGTGGTACGCGGCACCGGTGTAGCAGAGACGGCTTGGTTCAACACAAGGGAATTACGTTTTCGATGAGAAATAGACCTGGCCAAAATCTTGACATGATTGTAATAAATATTTAGAAGTGATGCCAGAGATGCAATGCAATGTGGGTTTTGACTGATTTTTGATTAAGCTACTTGTACAAAGTTATATGAATAAGTTTGGAGTAGAAAAAGGGCGGCCTATACCCTAAAATTTACATTGTATATCCAGGAAGCTGTAATGAATGGAGATATCGTCTCGAAAGAATTTTCCGAGGGAAAAATATTCAAGATTAACCTGGCTTAACAAAAAGAAATGTAACCCTCTCCAGGCATCATTTCCATCAACAGCTGTCCATATCAATACACAGTCCCTCTCTGCAATTCCAAATAGTACGAAATGTTACGCAACGCCATCTGCTTCCCTAAGTTTTCTATTCACTCTTTTGCAAAAATATGCAAGCATCGGGCTTTGAAGCCATGCGTGGCACCGAAAAATAAAGTCATGTTCAGTGAAGATGTATTTAGCTATAACATATAAAATACAGAATTCACAACATATGACCAATGCAACTTTCTATTAGTCATCAAATGCCTTTTCCGTTCTCGGATAGCTCTACTAAAGACATTGCCATTTCAGCCAGCGAAATCGACCGAGGAAATCATGAGTTAGAGCAAATAAAAGGTTTTCATCATCATGATTTCTCATCTAATTATTTACATTTTCCGAAAATTTCCGAAATGTGTACATAGCTAGGAAGGTAGTCCAAATGTTAATCTTCCTAAAGAACTAAATGAAATTGTGTTATAATATTGCGCATTTATTGATTTAAAGCTAGAAGTTGTCAAGTTATCACCACTATTCACCCCAGTACGGGCCGGCAAAGCAAAAGCCGCCGTGCTCGCTGGGCTGGGCTGTGTGTGAAAAGGGAAGACTTAGTGCTACTAGGGAGCTGTACGGTTTCGGAGGGGGTTAAGGGGATTACGGTATGGGAAACAAAAGACGCGCGGTGCCACGGATGACTTCAAAGGGGCCTCTTGGACGGGATCTCCATTAATTACAGCTTCCTGGTATATCGTTACCATTCTTTTAGAGAGAGAAGATATTTTAATCATTAGATGCACATAGAATATTTCTTTTTTTTTCAAAACAAGTAAATCATTGTCAATTCAATACCAATTTAATTCGTTATTGTTCGTACCCTACTATGATCATTATGCATGTATATGCGCATGACAGGTAAATCAACGAACCGTCTCTTTTTTGACATTTTCATCATTATGATTTCAACCGGAACGCACTCATCCCCGCCACCCAATTTGAAATGTATATATCGGCTCACATCAAAAAGTGATATGTATTTTTAAATAAATAAATATACATTATATATTTAATGTTAAATAAAATGAGCAATTTTTATTTACAAATATGATTGATATAGTTGGGCAATCGTACATCCATAGTGCATACGTCAAGATCTCCTGTGAGGACCAATAACATGGCGGCATCCAGATTCCAGTAAGATCTAGGATTTTCTAAGTGATTTCAAACAACTGAAATCATATTTTTCAAATACACGATTATTATTTTGTAAACATTCGTATTTTCCTTTAATCCATGCTATTTGAGCACTTTCCTTATTAGGCAGGTGGGATGGAATGTATATTTCATATGTATTGTCATTTTTAGGTGTATTTTTTTTTTTTTTTTTTTGGTTTAATCTGTAATTGTTTATCATTGTATTTTGTTTGTCATAGCGCTTCGAGACTTCAATGGAAAGCGCTTTATAAGCACCATTTTTATCATTATTATTATACAATATGTGATATGTGATTAGCACAACAAAATAAGAAAATTGGATAACAATATTAGAAAGAATTTAAAGCACCTAGAATGTATACTTGAGATTGTTGTTTGTTAATAACGCCATCTTCGACGGCTTGAAACAAGTGTTGCAGAGGCACACTTGATTTAAGCCGTCGAAGATGGCGTTATTAACAAACTCATAATTAGGCTCACCAGCCCAGCCTAAGGACCGGACCGCGTGTCCTAATTCAATGTTCACCAGCATCATATAGCAAGTAAGTACGGAGAGGTAGCGTTGGTGTGGTGGAGATCAACATTAAATAGCCAGATTCTGCACTAGTGGTGTAGTAACGTTGAAAAATCAACATATTTTATGATTTCAAACGGCATTGTTAATGTTTATGTCTGAAAGAGGCAAGCGATGGGCTTTGTCGTCAGCAAATGAATTCCACAGTTGAGGTCCTAAGTGTCAGACTGTCTGTCTGGACGATTCATACTTTAACAATTACACATGTGGTCTATTGCAATATCTGGTATTGTACTTATGATTTTCAGAGTTTAACATGTAAACATATTATTAAAAACCTGAGGCAACAAGTTGTTGAAATATTTGTACGTAAATAATGCAGTTTGCAATTTACAAATGTCAAACATAGTTAAGACTTTAAGCTCCTTAAAAAGAGGATCACTTGTTGTTCTGGGATGAGAGTTGGAAATTGCACGTAGAGCCCTTTTTTGTAATACATATAGCTTATTTTTAATGAGGTAAATGAGAAAAAATAGTATGTAATTTTTTTGGAGTTTGGAATAATAAAATGTTAATAAATTGACTTGGTCCTTCTGAAAATTACATGTACTCCACAAACGGTAAACATGACTTTACAAGAAAGCTTGATGCTTTTAGCTCTTTCTCGTCATATAATTGGAATACTAAGCCATTACAGGACAATTTATTTTATAGGAGATTTTCTACTATAATATGATAGTAGTATAGTAGTATAATAGTATATATCAAGTTAATATATCAAATAAAATTTCAATATTTAGCTCCTCTTATTTCATCTATAGCTAGGAATATCCATAACTCCTCAGTTTTCACTGTGTTGTAAAATTAGTTAATTTTTGTGATGTTACATAACATTATACACTGTATATCTACATGTATGTACTTTTAATGCCCTGCATTTTCCAGTAAAATGGAATTGTCCTGGGCTATTGTATCCTCTCCTTTGTTGTGCAAGTTTGAACAATAAAGTGATGTTTAAAAAAAAATACATACATATATTATTATTATTATCTATTATATCAATCGTTCTTTCTTTATTTTCGTGATCTCGCCCCCCTCCCTCTCTCTCTCTCTCTCTCTTTCTCCCTCTCTCTCTCTCTCTCTCTCCCTCTCTCTCTCTCTCTCTCTACCCCTCCCCATGCCCCCCCTTTCTCTTCATCATCATCATCTAGCTGTCACTCATACCGTGCCTCATCATCGCTCAACCGGACATCTATGACATCATGCTGTTCGCAAACCAAGCAGAATCATCAGATAAAACATAGGACTACCACATCGTCATCGAGCGTCTGCAACGTTACATCAAATTGAAAGCAATTTTCACAGTAGGACGTCGTACTTCCAACCACAATTGTTCCAATTTGATCGAGTTATGAAAACCTCCTTGAGGAAGCATGTGTCCCGATTTGCACGAGTCTTTGCTTTGATTCCAACTTTACAATGAATGATGACGACCGAATTATAATTTCTAAAACTTAATTATAATTGCGTTTATTTGATTTAATTATTTTTTGCTGGTGCCTTTGATCAATAATATTTTTTCATCTTCTCTATCTCTTTGTCCTTCCCTCACCCCCCCCCCTCTCTCTCTCTCTCTCTCTCTCTCTCTCTCTCTCTCTCTCTCGCTCTCCCCAACTCTCTTTTTCTCACTTTTATTGTTTAAATTCATGCACACCCCTCGTTTTCTGTTTGTGTATTTCCTTTTATAATTATTGTATGTTTGTAATGAGAGCCTGTCATATATTCCTTCACACAGCCTTGTCATGGCGCCAACTTTGTGGGATGACATCTCTTTTGACACCACTGATTATTTCTCCCCGCCATCGTGTTCTCTTTAGAGCGAGAGAAAAATAATGACAAACCGGATATTATTTCATTTTGTTTACACTTTTAATGGAGGCAGCTCGAATTTGCCACCGGGAACATTGAAAGAGCGTCATTTGTGAAACCTTATACATACCATCTCATGAGGATGTTCAGGTACATCCATACGAATGTTTATCTTTTTCGTTTCTTGGAGAAGACAAATGAATATGAGAACAGAGGAAAAGCATTCCATACTAACGCAAGGAGGTGCGATTCTTTCACCAGTCGTAATTTCTATGTTTCAAATTTCAATAAGGGATTACAAATAAGAAAAGGATTAAAACATTGACATCTTATACAGCAGACTTGCAGATATATACCGTCCATAACTCTTCTTTTACTCAGTGGTCTGAATAGGAAACAAATATTATGATAGAAATGATAGTAATAATAATAATGATAATACAAACAACATTTTTATATAGCGTAAAACACAAACATGAATTTAAGTCCTAGTTATGCGCTTAATACACCGACGATATGTCGCTAAGCGAAAGACAGATATATTATTACCCCGGTCATCGGACTAAAGCTTTCCCCGCTCACAATGAATGCACATTCTCCATTTCCTGGGGAGCATTCCAGCCAGGCACCATTTCACAGACGCTCACAATGCAGAGCAAACTAAGAAAACCATCTCATCCTACCAGGTAGTCACTGACTCCTGCAGGTTCATTAGTATTTGATAGGGGCAGGTGTTGGCGCCAATACCAGCCCAGTCAGGTGGATCAGTCAAGTAGTTAAGGTTCAGCCAGGCATTGACAGAGACAGATGCACAGGTATAATGCATGCGTTAAGAAAAGGAAATTGAAGGAGAGGTGGGGAGATGGGGAGGGAGGGGCAAATTAACGATGAACTGACAGGCACTGACAGAAAGAGAGAGAGAGAGAGAGAGAGAGAGAGAGAGAGAGAGAGAGAAAATACACAGTGCGAAGGTGTGATGGGATCGTAGAGAGTAGGAAATTGAAGGAGAGGTTTGGAGATGGCGAGTAAGGCGTAAATTAAACGTAAATTCGAAATTTCTGGAAGGCATCGACAAAGACGCAGGTACAAGAAAGAGAAGTACACAGTGCGAAGGTGTGAGGGGATCGTGGAGGGTGGGAAATTGGTGGATGGGAGGGGAGATGGGAGAGGGAGATGTAAATTAACGATCATTGTCTGTCTGGATGACTGGGTATTGGCTTTTTTTCCTAGTCGGTTTTTTCAATCAGCAGGCTCTTCCACTAGTAAGAATGAGAAGAGAAGAACGAGGAGCAAGTAG